CCTCCTCTCTCTCTCTCTCTCTCTCTCTCTCTCTCTCAGACACACACATGATGGGCGAAGTCGACGAAGCAGCAAGTATTAAGCTTTTCGGGGCAGTGATCCTAAAGGAAGATAGACAAGCCAAGGAGAAGAAGGAGGCGCAGGACGAGGCGGCGGCGGCCAGGGAGGCGGCGGCCGCGGTGGCGCTGCCGTGCCCGCGGTGCAAGAGCAAGGAGACCAAGTTCTGCTACTTCAACAACTACAATGTGAACCAGCCGCGGCACTTCTGCAAGGCCTGCCACCGCTACTGGACGGCCGGGGGCACGCTACGGAACGTCCCCGTGGGCGCCGGCCGCCGCAAGGTTCGCCGAGCCCCCCACGGCGGCGTCTCCGCCACCGCCGGCCCCGCCACCTGCGTCTTGGAGCACCCTTCCCCTCCCTACCTGGCTGCGCGCTGGCTCCTGCGGCCGGAGGCGCCTCCGAGGGCTGACTACGGCACTTTCAACGGTGGACTCTGTTGACTTCTCGGTGGTCGTGTGTTCATGATGTGCATCTTCTTTTTCTTTATGCTTTGTTATGATTAATGTGTTCAGCTTTCAGCGAGAAAGGAGATCTGTGTTCCATTGGAACCTGCAACACTTGGGAATTGAGCTGTCTTTTCTGCATGCTGCGATCAAACGATTGTACTTGTTATCATGTGCAAACAGATCGGGCGATTGCCTTGAAATTCCAACCTAATCGAATCGTACTTGTTAATTTTAGAGTAAATCCAGCAAAAAAAAAAATATCGGATTAGTGATTCAGTCGAAACTCTCTCTTTTCCTCGATCATCAACTGTAGATATTGCGATCGATATTGCCATACGTTCCATGAAAACTGTGGAGATGGGACATCAGTCAAACTTCGTGGTTTCACTTACGATACTCCTTAATAATTCGAGACTAATCTATGGTAATTAGTAGAGAAGTCCGAATTAATAATCGGAAAGCGAGATTACGTGCATCAATCAAATCATGCAAATGATTAAGGTGATACCGTAATTTATGCTGGTGAGTCCAACATATGAATCGAATCTAGATTCGCCGGCCTCCTATCTTGCTTATCTACTTTCAGAGAGGCGAGGATTCGGGGATTCGTATGATCTTCTCGAGATTCATCATCTCGTTATCCTGAAAGAGTCCGAGATTGTGGGGGACACTCGATCTACACGCCTTATAAGTTGAAGAGGAACCGACGTCGCTTCCTTGACCCGAGTTCAAAGAGGTCAACGCAATGGCGTCCCATGAAGAACGTGAGCGCTTGCTCTTCATGGCCAAGCTCGCCGAACAAGTCCACAGATACGACGGTACGTCGTTGCCATCTTCCCTATTCTGTTAGGGTTTTATGCACCGCTGTTGCTTGTCACGCAGAGATGGCAGACTCGATGAGGAAGCTGGCGCACCTCGACGTGGAGCTCACCACCGAGGAGAAGAGGTTGCTGTCGGCGGCGTACAAGGAGGTGGCCACGGCCAGGAGGGACTCGTGGAGGAACCTCGCCTCGATCGACGACGAGGACGCGAAAGCGAAGGGGCGCTTCTTCGGGGTGATCAGAGAGTACCGCCGGAAGGTGGAGGCGGAGCTCGCGAGCATCTGCAACGATGTGCTGGCCATGGTCGACGACCACCTCATTCCCTCCTCGTCCGACGCCGAATCGTCTGTCTTCTACCACAAGATGTGAGACAACGACTTCTCTCGTCGGTATATATTCATGGCAACTTGAGGTTTCCAAGGACCAAAAATGTGACTTTTTATCACGATAATTGTCATAGGAAGGCAGATTACTATCGATACCTCGCAGAATCCAAGACGGGCAATGAAAAGAAAGAGATTGCAGACAAGTCGCTTAAAGTTTACCAGGTAATAATAGATCATCACCTTCTTCGAAATCCATGTCTTGTGATCCGTGGTGTAAACTCATATAATCTATTATTTTGAGCACAGTCTTTTTCTGCTTTCTTCAAGTAATCAAAGATGTGTTGTCATGTAGATCGGTCTGAACATTGATTAATCATCTCCACTCTTCAAGTCTTAGAGCTTAATTTCTTATTGGTCAGCTGTTCTGTAACGAGAGTCGATCGAGGTTACGTTTGACATTTGGAACTGAAAATAAGAAATCTAAATTAAATATTCGGAGAGGTAGTCAAACACCTCGACTAGACTGGAGAGATCTTGTTGAGTTGGATGTATCACTGGTCCTTGTTCTATCTTTGCTGGCTCCTTCAAAGATAGGGCTCTCTGAAGTCTAAAAGTAGAAGCCACTGTCATTTTATCTTTTATTAAGTGATTCATTTAGTTAGAAACATTTTCTTTACGTTGTCTTTTAGACTTGTGTTTTTGATTTGACAGAAGAAATTTCATAGTTTTTAGTGTTATCTATTCGATATCGGTGTCGGTGTTACTAATCATTTCTATTGTGACACATAATTGAATGGGACTTTCGAATAGTATGATCGTCATAATTATTATTTATTATTATTATTATTCTATAACGAGTAAAAGTGATTGATCTGTTTTCATGTGCTGCAGAGCTACGAGCATGTGTAACTTTGCTTATGGTAGTCTAAATCTGTTTCAGGCTGCTACCAAAATAGCTGAAAAAGAGCTATCTCCGACAAATCCAATTCGCCTGGGTTTGGCTTTGAACTTATCCGTTTTCTATTACGAGATCATGGGCTCACCCGTGCGGTATGATGCTACAGTGGAGCTTGATTTCGAGCTTTTGGTTTACTGTTTCTGTCCTCGTTTTACTCCTGAACTATTATAATTTCAGGGCATTCCAAGTAGCACATCAGGCTTTTGATGAAGCCATCTGTGGGATCGACTTGATGGATCCAGAAGAACCATGCAAGGATAGCACTTTGATCTTGAAGTTACTGAAGGATAACCTCGCTTTCTGGATCTCTGATGTCAATACGTTCGTAGACTAGTGATGTAAGTTCTCTATGCCAGGAATGTCAACAGTCAGTGATGTAAAAGTTCAGTTCTCTTCTTAGTCGGTATCTGTGCAGAAACTCGATGACATTATAAATGAGTGATGCTTTGGCTTTTTTGCATTGGAAAACAAATCGCGATTTTGGAGAACCATCATCGTTCTCGATTGTAATACATAAAGAGATCATCTTCTCCGATGGTCTCCATCGTTCGGGAGTGCGAACTCCAAACAGGCACGTGACGCAAACCCCACAGGCGTAGAAAGTGAAGCTTTTTACCATCCGTTGAGGCTCAACCCCCAAAGCATTACGGGAAGGCTTTTGCAGACAGTGATGGAACGTGATAAGTTGGGTGAGTCCTAGAATTTGCTAGTCATTGAAACTTTAGTTGGTAGGCTGTGAGATGCGGACATTGGGACCTGATCAGAGAGTGAGAACACATGCAATGTTTGTCCGAAACTCGAAAGCTTTCAGCATCATCACACCCAACTGTTGCCTCCCCAATCATAATCTTTCTCTTTTAAAAGCAATTTGCATGCCCTATTTGTTCTTGAAAAGAAAGCTTTTGCATTTGGTAAGAAACATTCCATTTCTATATGAAGTGGAAAATTATGTGCTATGATGCACTATATACATGGAAAACAAAAAAGAAGATTAGGTGCTGTAAGCTAACAGAAGTGCTTCAGGATGCATGCTCTGTTTTTTGGTCGAGGATGCTACTTCTCAGAAGAGCTTCTTAGATTTTTTATCTTTTTGAAATAGCACCAAAATATTATTCTGTCCAATCTTTTTTTTTTTTTTGTTCCTTTTTCTTCCCTCGAGAGCTAAATTCTTACAAGTGACAACCAACAGTATCATCAATCATCCGAGTGGGAAATATTTAGAGGTGCATTTGGAGTAAATCCTTCTTTGCATGCGAAAATACTGGAGTATATAGCTGAGAGAAACTTGAAGAAAGATTATTGAGTTCTCGACTTCCATCATGAGACGCCAACGAAGTAGGGGGACCGATCGAAGTGTCTCATGGAAGAAGGAGAGACTAACGCTCTTCATTCTTTTCTCCTAATTCTCTTATATTCCAAGGCCATGTTTGCTCGGACTACTCAAGTTCAAATGCATGGATGGCAGTGCTTCATCTGTTCCATTCCAAACAGAGATATTCCACCGTTTGATTTCATGTCTCACGTTATAAAGCAGATTAAAAGTTAAGGAGAACCGCAGTTGTGATCATTCAGTCTCCTTCAGCGTGTACCGAAACCTGCTGTGTGAGATCTCCAGCTCTGGGAATTCCTTCAGTTTCTGCTTTGAATCAGTAAATCTTGTGGTTTCTTTTCTGCAAATCCAATTTCCTCATTATTAGCATCGAGCCGAACACCAATCCATGGTAAAATTGTCAGGAATAGGGTCCCAAATTTGTGGCATTAACACTGGGAATCTTATCCTTTTGGAGAAAAAGGAACGAAGGAGTTGGCCATGCGTAGCTGTCTTTCTTCTCTCCATCAGGCAGTCATTTATTGAATGGGGTCGATCCATGTTCCATGGTCTTCTCGCCCTCACCTTCTCGGTTCTTCTGAACCACCTTCTTAAGTGGCGAGTGGGCTTCGAATCACGCAGAGGTTTATTGCATGGGAGTCATCAGATCGATCCATGAGGTGCTGAGCGCCAGAAGCTAGAAATGGAGTGTGGGGACGTCATGTGTTAAAACCATGCAATTTGCTTCATCCTTCGAGTCTTCAGTGTTGATCTTACCGGTTCTCAAGCCAAAACCTTAACCGCTGAGCTTGTCCGCAGGTGGTGGGCGATCTCGTAACAAGCCACTGCAGCATTGAGCTTCGATTCGATGCCGAGGTCGAGGTACTGATAAGAAGCAGATTCATGTATTTGTTTTCTGTTGTCAGACCTATTGATCGCTTGTTGGGAAACAGAGCGTCGGAATTGCCGCAGAGGCAGCCGCAGCGAGCGGCGCCTCTTCACCTGAAGACCAACTCTGAGGCCAACAGCCACCAACGCTCAGTCGACCGCCGTGCGAAGCCGGAAGATCGCCGATCCCCTCGTAGTCCCTTGCACGAGGTAAGCTTCCCACTATCCCTGTCCATCTTGATGACCTCTCCATCTATGATCCAATTCTGTGGCCATTGTTTCTGTGGATCCAGAAGAAGCGCGGCACTGGAGTCTCCGACGTGGAGACCAAGCTTGGCGAAGCGCAGGAGGAGCTCAAGATGCTAAGGGACCGGCTGGCTTTGGCCGAAGCAGCGAAGCTCGATGCTCAACAAGCTCTCGAGATGGCCAAGAAGCAGATACCCTCTGCTATCCCAGTAGTGAAAGCAGAAGAAGCGGAGAATCTTCTGCTTCAGCAGGACTCCGAAGAGACGTCAGAAGTCACGCAGGAGGCGAAGATTGAAGAGGAGAGCGTCGATTCCGCGCGCACTACTGATGTCTTCGAAGTCGTAGCACCGACCGAGCCCACAAACGTAGAGAACGACGATCACAGCAAGCCCGGAGAAGAAGCGACAGTAACCGAGAAAGAGGAGGAGGATAAGGAGGAGGAGAAAGCTAAAACAGCAGTCGAGAACGAGAAATACGTGAAAGATCAAATGGTAGACAAGAAAGAGGAACAACAGCGCGGCGGGGTAGAGCTTCCGAATTTGCTGGACTTGGTTGAACTCGAGGACACGACAGAGGTGGGAATTGTGCTGGAGGAGAACGTGCTCGCCAAGACGACAGCGGAGTCGCAGACCGTGAGAACTGCCGACGCAGCACGAGCCAAGGAAGAGGAGCTCGCAGAGAAGCTGAGATCAACGGAGGAGGAGCTGAAACAGAGCAGGGAGAAAGCGGAGCTGCTGACGGAGCAGCTGCAAGCGGCAGTAGGGGCGAAGTCGATGCTCGAGGAGGAAATGAAGCGGCTGAGGGTGCAGACAGAGCAGTGGCGAAAGGCCGCCGAAACAGCTGCCGCGGCGCTGGCAGCCGGCGACGATGTCGGGCACGAGGAATGGGGTCCGGCGCTGATGGACGGGGATGCGATGAGGGAGGAAGGGGCCGTGGGGAAGCGGAAGGGGGCGGGTGTTCGGGTCTTTGGTGACCTCTGGAAGAAGAAAGGTCAGCGCAAGTAGAGATCGGATCAGCCTTTCGGATTGCCTTTTGATGCCGCGCCGTGTCTGTTTGCTTTGGTTTGGTTTGGTGGATGGTTGTATCTGCGTCTCTTCCCACGCCGCTGTTAAACCACAGACAGTGTTGCAGATTTGACGACAATGGATCGGATAATATATAAGATTATATAAGAGAATCAAATGTTTTCCCAGAAGAACATAATTTGAAGTTGGGAATATATCATTTCATGTGATGGGTAATTATATCTACTGTCGCAATGCATCATTCGATTGCAAGCTTCTCCTTCCTCCTCGAGTGAAGTAATGTTGAGGTTGAGCAGCCGATGACAGTGGGACGATGGCAGACGTAGGTCAAGTCACTGCGCCTCCAGTGGCAGGTTCACATGGGCCTCACACACAGCTCACACTACAAGGTCGGCGACGAAGGATGACAACTCGCGTCTTCTTTCTCAGCACCGCTCGTGTGCCGTGCCACCGCAAGCCATTGATTCCATGCGCCAGAAACTGGATGCCTGTGATGTCGTGCTGTGGCCAACGGTCTCAAGGAGGTCCTCCGAGTGCTCACTCCATTGCTCAATCACCAATTTCCAAGCTCTGCGACTCACTGCATGTCTCTGACTGCTCTTAGCAGCTGGCAACTTTCTTCCCAGCTGTTTGCTGAAGGAGTTGTTCTTCTGTTCCACATCCTTAAGCAAATGAACATCTAGAGCAGCCACACGAGCAAAGCTAAATTACCAGTCCCAGAGATGAAACATGAATCTTAATGTCGCCAATCAAATGCGCATCCTCGTAGCAGAGGGGAAAAGAACATGATAAAGCGAACGGTACGTACGCACCTGCATCGATGGTGACGAGGGGGGGGTGCGTTCATTGAACTTGCATAAGCATTGATGGGGAAGATCTCTACAGCCCATGGAATCGAGTTGCCTCTACGAGTAGCCTACTTGGATTTAAATGCTACACACGTCGTCGTCAACGGAGGGGGAAGGAGAACATTTAACGCGAGGGAAAAGGACGCATGGATCGATGCATTCCACGTAAGGTAGATCTACCATTACGATTAGTGGTAATGGAAAAAGATAGATAATAGAAGTATAAGCTCTGATGATGGAAAACATCATAGATCATCCTGTAGTTTGATGTACACTCGTGAGCTTTTATATGTAGCATGAGAAGGGTTCAATTAGTTATGTATATATATTCATACATGAGCAACGCCATCCACAACAGGAGGTTGTACGAGTAGGACTTGCCCAGATGTAGCAGTGCCTGTATACGATTCATAAACTGACATGCATCACTGTAGCAGTACTATTAACAGGACTATCTCAACCAATAACAGCAGCAGCAGCAGCAGGGTAAAGCTCTTAAAGATACTAGGTAGAAAAGACTAGGGCATGGCTCTTAAGGCAGATACATTTGCTTGACAACGATGAAAGGTGGTGGCTTGCTTGTACATGAGAAGAGTTGGTACCGAGAACAAAGAAAGAAAAGGCAGCAGCGTATTATAACCTTCTCCGGATACCATTTCTGGATAGAAAAAGCAAGGGAAGCTGTGCCAACTCGTCTTCTTGTGTCACCAGCTCTTCTTCCTCCATCAGTGACCTCTCACTTCTCAAACGGTCCGAGCCTGTTATCAGCCAGCCTTGATTTATATGCAGCCTTCTTGTACTCGTCCCATGTGAACTCTTTGTACAGACTGTGCTCTCTTTCCCCCATCAGCTGTGGCAACGGGGCAATCTTCTCGGCGAAGGGTGGACCAAAGAAATAGATCATTGAGACCCTGGACTCCATCCCGTTGGCCACCACCCTGTGCCTCACACTCCTGAATCTCCCATTTGTCAGAACCTACAGAAAACAAATCCTATCCTGAGTATCGCAGAATTATGATCCCTAGCCTTCAGCAAGATGCATGAAGGTGCTGTTTTATGTGACAAAGACATGCAAGTTGTTTTGTATTTGGATGGAGGAGATATAGTAGACCAGTAGCGTAAGTTGCTTAGAGGATTCTTCCTCACTGATATTTACATGAACCGGAATCAGTGTAAGAGCTGGGAAGGGGCATGATCACCTGCAAGGAATCACCAACATTGATGAAGAAGGACTCTTCATCCGGAGGAACCGAGACCCAGCTCCCATCCTTGAGCGCTATCTGCAAGCCTGTGCTGTTGTTTGATCTCAGTACAGATATGATCTGTGGGTCTGTGTGCTCCCCGAAGCCAGTCAAGCTGTAGTTCGACCCTCGAAGCACTGGGCATGGAGGATAGTGATTGAGCCTAAAGATTCCGTCGCTCGCCTCACTTGTCACTAGTTTACTGATGACATCTCTGGGCTCAATCTCTAGCCCTTGGGCCATCAGCTCTAGCACCTGAGAAGCTAGTTTCCTGACGGCTGATAAGTATTCCTTCAATGCAGAGCTGCAACACATCACACCGACCAAAACCAGAGTAAAGCTACACGTTAAGAGAGAGGACAAAAGCTTCTCAAGAAGCGAAGAAAGTGCCAAAAATAACACACATCGGTTCTACTGCAAGACGCTCATGAAATAGTGTTAGAACCGAAAACAGGATCATCATACTATCTACTTTCATTGTTCCTACCGAAAAGAACATACCGAATACTATTAGAAACGGAAACAGAATCGTTATAATATCCATTTTTTGTTGTTCTTACCGAAATAAACATGCCGAGGGTTCTCGAAGAAAGTCCATCGGAGTGTAAGACAATGGCTTCGAGGTGACTGCGAAGAGAAGGTACTCCACCCAGCCCATATCGCCATTAGCACCGATCCTTTTGTTCCCATAACCGAGCGGTTTGGCAGGACCCGACTTCTCCTTCTCCACCGGAGGCAAGGAGAAGAAGTTGACAGCCTCCGCCTCTAGTCTCCGCATGAACTCCACCGGAATCCCATGGTTGGTCACCTTGAAGAAACCGAACTCCTTGCAGGCCTCGACGAGGCGCGCTGCTGCGTCAGGCTTGGTGAGGTCGACGACGGGAACACCTGAGAAGCAAGCCGCGGGCTTCGGCGATCTAATGAGGGATATCAGATCTAGTGCTGGATCAGTCAAGACCACCATCTTTGTAGAGAAAGGGAGCAGATCAGAAGAGAACGGGGTTTGGGGGTCGCTTCCTATTCCAAGCGGACCGCTGTGTAGTAGAATTGCATGAGGAGGTGGATTTATATAGACCAGGCCGCCACCAAGAGCACAGTGGTAGCTGCTCCTGCAAGGATTCCAATTTGTACCTAGGCTTGGAATCGTGAGATGGTCTTCCATCTAAAGTGTCCCGCGGTTGATAAGCTTGAGATCCTCATTTCAGCTCCGACTCCGACATGATTGGATGACTAATATGTTTTCATACATGAACCTTATGTGTCTGTCAGCCGCTTGACCTTTTTATGCGTGATGTAATAGGTCTGTGGACAAGTTCTTGAGCTAGAAGGCCTGCATTTTAAGGTGGTAGTCAAACGTTTCACCTCCTCTTCATCCTCCAACCCTTCACGTGTATGTTGTCCCCGAGAGTGCGGCGAAGAAAAGGATGTGCATCTCCCATTAAACAAAGGCTTGCTTTCATCTTCATGGGCTCGTTTTGTCAAGTGATGATGATTCAAGCAATCATTAAGTTACTGCAAACCTCGAGCCGGCTGCAGAAAGTCTTTGACGCACAAACAGCAAAGCAACAAAAGGTCGGATGACCTGTGATAAACCTTGAGCCGGCTGCACAGAGTCGCCGACGAGCATTTGCTTTGCGCAAATGAAATGTCAAAGCAACTCGTTCCACAGAGAATGTGCACGCGGTTTGGCAGGCCAGTCTCATGATTCCATGTATATTTATTTATATACGTATTATCTCAAGCTATGACATAAGGTTTGACTGGTTGGATTAAAAGAAAGAAGAAATCAAATTAAATTGTCGAACCCGTTCGTTCGGTGAAGAAGTATCGAGTATGATTCGATACAACGTGCTTTAAAGGTTGCATCCGTTGGCATTTAGTAGCCACAATGGAGAAGAACATAAAATGAATTATTGAGGGCGATCTCCTGTTTGGGTGGACCGACCAAGTCACCCATGGAAAACAATTATTATGAGAACGCCTGCATGCGAATTCCATCGCGGAAGGTCTACGAATGGCCACATCGATGGAGATGTCATCTTTTGCACGTGTGACGCTCTTCACACATACGTTTCAAACTGAATCGAAATGACGGTTCAGTTAAGGTTTCTGATTTTTGTTTTTGTTTTGTTTTTAATTGAAATCGACGATTTTTGAATAGTGGTTCATTAAATATATATATATATATATATATATATATATAATTTATAAATTATGATTTATTATTATTAAAATTATTTTTAATTTAAAAAATTAAAAACTAACGGTTCAAACTAAAATCATAACCGTCAATTCTCATTTCAGTATCTATACGACTCGATTCCGGTTCTCAAAATTTCAAAATACGAATCAAAACTGCTTTGTTTTGAAACTGTATCATAAAACTTCTCATTCTTAAACTGTCTTAGGGTAGAGACAAGAGAAATCAAGCACACGGATGAGTCCATCGCTGGACTTGTAGCTGTTAAACTTCACTGATATGGTTGACATAGGTAAGGTATTTTTCAACAAGGAAAGACCAATCGATTTGGAATGTATATTTGTAAAAATATAGAAATCCAAATTAGGTTTGGAAAGGTTTTGAAGGATATGAGATCGTGAATATATATATATATATATATATATAATTTGTTGTCATTTCGATGCGTTATAATTATATTCATTTTTTCCTTTGATATTTTATGTAATTATTGTTGGGATGTAATAATCCTACATTCAAAAATATGTAAATTTTTGTATATACCATTATAAAATTTCAATTTTTATAAATATTCTCCAAAGTCGAAGTACTTCCACATAAGTCACCATAAATACGCACTAATATTGACATTTTAATTTAAGGAGCATTTCCATATTATTTATATGGAAATAATATATTTACCGCTCTGAGTCTATAGCCTATCGATAATAACTTTAATTAAAAATTTCTTTTCCACTCTAAATCTGATATGATACTTTCGACAAAAGAGAAAGGATATTTCAAGTGGATAGAATTCTATCTAAAAAGAATGCATGATTCTGTGATCGATGCCTTACCATAATTTTTTTTCTCTCGCGAGAAAAAAATTTAAAGAAAATATATAGTGAAAATACAAATTGAAAAGCTTGTTAAATATCAGATTTTGATGATTAAACCAATTGATAATGTTATTATCTATTTTGTGTGATGTAGGATTAGCTTCGATCAAGAAGAGGTAAATTGATTAAAGTAGGAGGAATCGGATGCTGGACCGGAGTTGAACATGTCAGAAGATTAGACGTCGAGCTGGAGGATCGATTGATGTGTCAGCAGAAGGTTTAGTGCCGTGAATTCGGGTATCGAGCCAAAGGATTAGACATTGCGCTAAGGAGATCGGAAGTTGCGAGTGTTAACATACCGATTGGGTAATATGTCGAAGGAGAGAACAATGCACCGAAGGATCGGACGAAGCACCGGAAGAACCAATGACATGCTGGACAACAAATGATTTGTACTTTATAATAATTTGTCTAGATCAAATTACTTTAGGTCGTAATTGGGTTGGTTTATAATGTACTTAAGCCAACTTGATTAGGGTCCAACTATGCCTGAATTGGGACTGTTCTGGGCCAAAAGAAAAGCTCATTCAGTGACCCAAAAATTGAGTTAGGCGATGGCACTACTAGTAGCTCAGTCTACGAGACATAGTCTCCAAGACAGTGTCAAGCAGTAGTACCGCCAGTACCCGGGATAAGACTTTTTTTGCTCCAATTTTAAAGTTACATGGGATTTATAAATACCCCAGCTATTCCTACATGAAGTAGTAAGAATTGAGCATAAAATTGAGTTAAAAAAGGAGGAAAAGAATAATTGAGAAAAATTAGAAAACTCTCTTAGGATTTTGAATCACGTCTTTCTAGTATTTAGAAGTTCGTCTAAAGGGAGAAGTGAGGTTTAAGAAAGATAAGCTTATAAGGGTTGTCTCCTAAACTTATGGAAAGAAGAAAGAGTGTAAAAGGATAGTTAATCTTCGCCCATTGAAGGAATATCAGTAGTAGAAGTCAGTGGCCTCGAGTGAAGAGGAATCGAGAGTGGATATAGGTCACGAGGATCGAACCACTATAAAAATCTGGTTTATATTTCTACTTTTCTCTTTACTTTCATTGCAAACTACTTTACTTTCACTACGCTTGTATGCTTTCAAGTTAAATATATTTCCTATATGGGCTTTGTTGAAATGGTTTTTTATCGAACGAGATTTCTGACTCGACGTGATTTTTATCACTGCATTAATTCGCCCCCCCCCCTCTTAGTGTCGACTCAATCCTAATAGTTGGTATCAGAGTCACATTTTTTTTCTCATTTGGTTTAACACCCAAGAGAAATAGTTTTTTTCGGCTTTCAAGATGAATCGAGAGTGGATGTAGGTCACAGCGACCGAACCACTATAAAACTTGGTTTGCATTTCTATTCTTATTATTTACCTTTACTGTAAACTATCTTACTTACTCATTGCTTTCATTACATTTACGAATGAGCTTTCAAGATTTTCAAAATCAATAATTTTTATTGTATACACTAATTCACCCCCTCTTAGTGTCGTAACAAAGCTTACTTCTCATATGATAATGGGCAAAAGGAATTCAAAGCATTCACATATAACAAATAATAGATAAAACTACTGGCTTGTCAATTTTGGTATTAAGTCTCCCCAAGTTGATTACTACTCTACTAATTTCTCTTGATTATTGAAAGTTTAATTCTTGTGTTTTATGTGGAGCTTTACAAAATCTAACAAAATTTAGTGAACGATTCATAAGGTTTTATTAATGTGTTATTTTTATTTCAATAAAGAGTTGTCTGTATATATATATATATATATATATATATATATATATATATATAATGTTTCGAGTTTATCAAGATTGAAAACCATATGCATTTTTCACTCCTCTACTTGTTAATAATATAGCATGAAAATGAATTCTTAAGATTCACTTGGCAAGTTCCTTTTGATAAAAATATTTCATTTACGTAAACAAAGACACGAGGAACAGCTTCTCCTACCCATTCTCTCTCTCAAAAGAAAAAGAAAAAAAAAAGAGAGTAAATTTAGTTTCCTCTCAAAATTGTCTCAGTAATTGACTGACTTCCCTAATTTCGGAAGTCAAACCATCATACCATTGCTAATTATTACATCAGATAAAAAATTTATGATGATATATGGAATTTGATGCATGAGCGACTACAGAATACATACAGGCTTCCTCGGTTTCAACCCACTCGAACATCGCTTGTCCCGATGCGTAGAGATGGCATGCTTGCATAACAGTAGTAAAATGGAATCTATCCTTCATAACCGGTCCATGGAGATGGAGGCTCCAAGCTCGCACGTGCACATGAACCCTTCGCAAGGATGACAGCAGCTGGTCAGGTAGTCCCCATGGAGATGCTTCGGTTCAATGCATGTAAGCTGTAGGGGGAGGCCGCAACACTCCAACGAAGACAAAGCCGACCCAATCATGGCCACTGCAGAAGACATGACCGAAGTGCTCATCATCATTCACAGCTTCGCAGGAAGACAAGAGGGAAAAGCGAAAGAAGCTCCAATGTGAGAAGAACTGAAAGGGTGAGCAGATTAGGTGCATGCATGCCCTCTTCTACTTCAGGAATGGCTTGGAATCGGAGTACGTGGGCAACTCGCCTTCTCCCACCACCTATCCTCTCAGTGTGTTTTGTCCAGATCTGTTGTGAAGATTGGGCATTGTCAGCTCCTTGTGCATACGACTTGCTTTTGCTAGCTGCATCTTTCCTTGCTTTTTTTTTTCTCCTTTGTTCTAATCTGCTTGCAGTTGAGGAGGGAACTGTGGGCTTGTGTACGAGTAGACTCCAAGGAGAAAACTACAGTTGGTGAGGAGAGTGCATGTGGTTGATCTGCCATAGTATCAGGACCTGAGTTGTATCATTGTGCTCAACTGGTGAGAGCGCATGAGAGCAATAATTTGAGAGAAAGAGTGGCTTCGGATGTGATGTGACTCGGTCAGGTTTCAGTGCATTATTGTGAACTAGAGGAGATCAGTACTCGGACATGATTACGGTAGGCATGAAGAAGAACTAGATGGAGTCAAACATAAAAGTCTTATGCTGACCGAAGCATTGGCAGGAGCAGCAACTGAGTTGGCCATCTCTCTCAAGATGGTCCCTTTCCTTTTCTTATTTCTGATGCTTTTATTTATTATTATTATTATAATTCCAGATAAATACAAGGAAGGATATATGAAGTGTAAGGTGGTCCATTTTATTTGGCTTACATTACACGATTTTTTGTTGTTGATTAGGTGCCGACATGGAGAGATAATTAGAGGAAACTTAGACAAGGAGCTTAAGTTGAATAAAAATAATTAATTCAAAAATCCAAAATACAGACAAATAAAAATGAGGATAAATCGTTACAAGAAAAATGCCAGATAATTATATATTTCTAATATAATTGACCCTGAGAGAGAGAGAGAGAGAGAGAGAGAGAGAGAGAGAGAGAGAGAGAGAGAGAGAGATGGTTAGATACATCGTGATTAATTTGACGGATCTGGAATGATTCGATTCGAATAAGTAATAAAAAGATATTAGTTTCTTCTGAATCATAATGCTACGTTGGGAAGGATGGATCGTCTGAGGCGAAGATATATACTGTGATTGCCCTTCAATCGTGTGAATGAATGAAGGTAATTGGTCATCAATCTTTTTGTATCATGATTTGCTCTATCGGATCATGATTTGCCCTTCAATCGTGTGCATGAATCAATCTTTTGAATCGCGAGGAAACATTTACCCATCCACTGTTTTGGTTCCGTGAAGAAGTACGTCCTCCGAGACAGGTTATGCTCGCAAATTGTTCTCTCATACTTTGCGAGTCATATCAATCGAGCGTTTTGAAGAGATGAAGCTGATTCAGGTGTCACTTACGACATGCAGTTCAGGCATTCTTGGCACGGTGGCAAGTTCTCCGAAAGGTGCTGAAAGCAGATCTTCTTCGACGTACGTGGATCATCTTGTGGACACTTGGGTCTTCTTACAATTAATGCTACGTGAAATTCTTTGGAGAGAGAGAGAGAGAGAGAGAGAGAGAGAGAGAGAGAGAGAGAGAGAGAGATCTGCGTGATACCTTTAGCAAAGATGAAGACGAAATTACGATATACTAGTGTCTACGCGTTAGCTTTCTTAGCAGTGAACTGTAAGGAGATTGCCGAAGCATGCAGGAGAAGACAGGAGCAGCAACGAGACTAGCCAGCGAATATCGCATTGCATGAGAACAAACTCCACCATTGGGTTTATTAAATATCTTCCCAAGTGGACGACAGCGTCTTCCTAAACTATAGAATTGGAGAAGATGATTGAGATGGAGAGTCTTCGCTTTTCCGGTGCGAAAGTATCTTTCTCTCTGTCTCATAGAGACCCGAGGGGAGGAGTGAGCTGGGTTCAGCGAATGAATGGAGAGACGGGGCTGTGGATAAGGATCTTGAAAGCCATGCCCGAGAAGGCACAAGCAACAGAAGAAGAGCCATTGCATGGGAACAAACGACGTCGATGCTTGGAGGCAGCGATGAAGCAATTTCGATGGGCTGAATAAACCATGATTTTTCTTCAGGGTGACGTGGTGACTCATATGGGCCCGATGCAAAGTGACCCGCGCATACGAAATCAAGAAAGTGGGTCCCTACACTGACTCGTGAGGTTCCACGTCGCTCAGAAAATTTTCAGTGGGGATGCTGTACATCTAAGCTTGCTAATTTTGGGTGTTTAGATTATCCGAACCGCTTGAACCGGGTCCGAATGGCCTTTAGGTACTCGAGTCAGATTTCGATTTGAGTTCAGACGTACGAGTTTGGCTGTCTTTTAGTTGAGATTGAGATGGTTCGAATAGAAATGTGGATTCTCGAGTTGCATTTGGATTCGGTTTAATCTAAGTTCCAATTGCTATTGGGTTGAAACCAATGATTTGAATCGGATGAGCTTTCACTTTTGGTTCGGATCAATTCGCGTTCGTGGGTGTGGTTGACCGACAAGAGTCATGGGCTGGATTGACGAGTGTGTTGACAGGATCTTGGGCCGGCCCATTTTCATGAAAGCATGGCTCAGTGCAATGAAAAGCGTCATCGGTGCTTGATGATGATTGATTAATAGGATCACCATTAATATTATTTTGACTCGGAGGAGAGCGAAGACTCAGAAGAACACCATAAGCACGGGCACGGCCAGACTGAGAAGACATGCAACCCATTTGGAGCTACTCGCGGCTGCCTTGGAGACTCCCCGCACCCTCACCTCGTCCACCACCGGCCCGCAGAGCGAGCTCCGGTCGTCGCTCCTCGTATTGTAGTACACGCTGTAGAAGGCGATGCGCGTCCTCTCGGCCCGCGCCGTGAACGTGACGTTGGCAGGTTGGTGGGTCGCGTTGCCCGTGGGCGAGTAGTGGAAGCTCTGCGCCTGGTCCCCCGCGAAGGCCATGATGGCCATGGGCGCCTGGCAGGAGTCGCCAGCGGCCCCGATTGTGAAGGTGAGGCTGTACTGCTTCTGAGGGGTTGTCTCCACCATCTGGGAGATGATCCCTTCCTTTCCCGACAGCAGCTCGACGGCGCGTTTCCCCTGCGGGACGTCGAAGTGGTAGGAGTCGATGTAGCGCACGGCGCGGTTGGACTCCACCATCCAGCCGGGGAGGGCGGACGTCTCCTCGTCGAGGTTGGTGGGGAGGAGAACGCCGAGGCTGGAGTTGGGTAACATCCACGGGCCTTCCTCGAAGTCGCCATTGACGACGGCATCGTCTGCAGTGCACTCAGAGCACGATCAACCATCCAATGCGGACGTAAATACTGAGATCAGAGGAATTGGATCATTCAGCATACCTTGGGGTCTCTCGGGAGCGAAGAGCTTCTTGATGGCGACATCGTCGATGATGGGACCGCAGGTGGGGTCGTCCTCCATGCCGGGGTTCCTAAAGCTCAGCCTCGACTCCGCCCCGTCGACCTCGGCCTCCGCCGGCGCCTGGAACGCCCAGGCATAGGCGTCCCACCCCTCGACGCTGTACAGCGTCTGCAGGTCCACCGCCTGCGACGCCGGCCACACCGACACGTTCAGCGTCTCCAGCTGCGCGCACGTCCGCGCCGCGCTAAACGTCACCGCGTACGTCGCCCCCTTCTCCAGCTGCAGGCTCTGCGATATCTCCGCGTCGTTCCCCAGCCGAACCGCGTGCACCCCTGCATCCGTATCATGCTGCGATCACTCCCCACTCACCTTCCTCCTCCCCAAAGCCAAATCTTGCGCCCCGAAACGAAGGGACTCGATGGCTAACCTTCGGGGACTATGAGGATCATGCCGCCTTGCTTTTGACCAGATTCGACGAGCTCCACCGTCCCATTGACAGTCCAGCCAGGGAAGGAGGTGATTCCGTCACCCTTGCCACCGGTTGAGACGGCACCTACTGTCTCGAAATCTCCATTGTTAAGCAAACCTACAGAGTGAGTGATGACAGTTGCGATTACCATCCATGTCTACATCTAAAAGCATTGCTTTCCTAAATAGCTTTAGAGATGTCTTTCTTCTCCTCTCACCATACTCTGGGAGGAAGGAACATACCACATTCTCCCATAAAAACAGCAGCACAAAAGCAAGCAGGCAAATTACATTATATAAATAATCTCAGGACTTGCACTCGCAGATGGTTTCGAGGGCTGCATTGCATCATTTTTCATAAAACGAAGACACCGGGAACAACATGTACCCGTCACAAGACCGTCGATGCCATGGATGAAGTCAGGAAGCGAAAACGAGACTTACCATCTTCAACCGCAGCTGTAGCAAACAGAGAGAAGAGGAGGATGAGAAGCACGCAGAAGAGAGGAAACCAGGCGCGTTGAGCGGCGGCGGCGGACCGGCGCATCTCGTCGACAAGGGTGATGAACCGGTCTACTTACGAAGAGGACGGGAGCGAGTTCTTCCCCTTCGCTTCTTCCAACTCACTTGGTGTGTTCCCCTCTGCCACCCTCTCTTATCGATGATTCCCTTCTTCTTATCCGTGCATCCTCGTTGGAGTACTGACAGTACAGGATAGGAGTTTGTGCTCTGTTTGCCTTCTTTTTTGTGTGTTGGTGTAATCTTCTAAACGTGAAAGCAAATGAAACCGAGGAAAACAAATATATGTTAACATGCATACTCCACTTTTATGTCGTTTCTTAGACTTTCTCCCGTGTTGATCTCGCAACCCTACTCATTTGTTCTAATTCATACATGATATGTGACATTTAATGTCTAGAAATCTTGCATCAAGGAACAGTGAACACAGAAAAGACACTCTTCCAAAGAAGTCCAGTCTTCAACCTAGAGCTCATAGTGTGGCAATTATTTGATGGACAGGTTCCTGTCCAAGTTGGACGGGTTGTTTTATTTTCTGAGCGTAGAAGATTCGAGTGATCAAATGCAATAATTAAAGCTTCCGTAGAAATATGGATCAACAATAGATGAGCTCTACTTTCGGCTGGGAATGGGTTCCACAGTCAATAATGTTCATGCCGTCGATGCCAACAGCATAAGTGCGCCAGGGTCCAACTGATGAAAGCCATCGATTAATATGTATATCTATACAGATTAATCGATGGTTTTCGAGGGTTTCTAAAGTGTGCAGACAGCAAAACAAGTAGCAGTTCAAAGAAAATGAGTCATGGGTATTAGGGTTCCTTGCTGAATCAGGACTAAAAGAGTCAACTTCAAAGTAATGGTATCTGGAGACATGAACAGCGACTGATGCTTTAAATTGACATGTAGCATTAGATGATACACCTCGACTTCTTTAAATGCAATCTGTGACTGTGCCAGGTTGAGAAAAAGAAAAACTTGAAAGAGATCGTGAACGGAGAGAATTAGCATCCGTGTACAGCCAAAAAAATTATTACATACTCTTAAGTTGAATCTGGTGCAGAAATGCAATCAGCAAAGTCATACCTGGTCAACACTTTTTCCTCAAGCAAAGGACACAATGTTGTTTTGTTGTGGTTGGCTTTTGCGCTAAAAGAAATTCTCAAAGGAACAGTTGGATGCAAGCATCATGGAAAGAATTCCAAGTTGGTTCTCGATCACTAGCATACTCAGGAAGGCAGAATAAGAATCGCTCTATGCTTCAGATCTCCCATATTTCCGTGTCTTCAGGGTGAGAGCCATCACACTCAAATATACTTTGACACTCCGGTAACATTTGAAGGACTGTTAACTTCACATTTTGAACCATTGAAATCCACAGGGTCCTCAACATCACAACCATTCTCCTGTTGCTCTTCTTTCTAAATACCCCCCTTTCCTCCTGCATAAACAACATACCACATACAAGCGTCGGGTTCAGGGGTTCAAGCAGATTCAGTTTTGGACAGATCTTCAAAGGAAAACTCAATTTTTACTGACCGTATCATGTGATATAATCACTAGACCATCATCTGTTGTTTCATTGGTCAACTCTGTCCGAGTTTTGAGCTGCATCATCTGTAAAAGGATTTGTTATAAATCACACTGCAAGTGCACTTGCACAATGGATAATTGAAAAGATTGATTTGAGGTGAATCCCAAAATAATTGAATGCCAAATTAATAAGCAATAGCAAACAAAGAATCACTTCGAATTTCAATACTGATGTGGTGCAAGTCAAGTAAAATAACACATCAGTATCTTAATAGGAGACTGAAACTTCTCCTTTCATAATTTTGACCACGTGGAGAGCAACACTCTAAACACACAGATAAACCATTTATTTCCATGTGCTGTTGTCAGCGAATTTAAAAAAAGGCTTCATTGTCTGCTTAAGCAAGACAACATCCATCAAGACAGATTACATCTGTCTCGATGCATGATTTCACTTACCTATGGGATTTTTAGTTTATCTCCTATTTTCTAAAATCAGAAGGGTATATCTGAAACATGACAACCGACAAGCTAACCTTAACAAGAAAGGGCCAGACTTGGATGAGAAGCCAATGGTTGTCAGAAATACCAATTTCCACAACCAGCATAGTCAAGAAGTACCAAACCTCATTATGGTTTGTCTTAACATAGTTCCTCTGGAGGTGATGAAAGTTCCAGTTTTAGCATCAATGTTAGCAAGAAAATCTCACCAACTACCCTTCCAATCTAACCAATCACCATCACAGGTAGAATTAACCTTAATAATTTCCATATTTATTTGATCATCTTACTTCATAATTTAACTATTGCATACATTTTAATCACTAATCCTGACCAACAAGATACAAAAAGCTAATGTCCGATTTCTAGTGTCAAATTATTAATCCTTATTGAATAACAAAGACTTCCCGCTCGTTCAGAAAAAAGTGGACTAATTTATCAAAAAAGCAAGAGATAACCCAGAAAATATTTCTGCAACTTTCAATGCAAAATGGGGTTTTAACTCTACTCGATGTAATATTCTCTAGTTTTGAAGAGACTCCTCATTCAAGCATGACACTCCAAAGAGTTAGTGTAATAGTACCAGAATCCTGATAAAATAAGAGTTTTGGCAGCAACAATAACTAAATACTAACAGCAGAACTAATGCTTCTGATGCCTCATATTTTGGTACTACGCCACATCTGAAAGGAAAACCAATATTAGACTAGAAAGTAGCACGATTTGAACAGTCATTCAACATAACAGAAGCTTGATAAGTAGCTAAAGCTGTGGCTAGTTGGGAAGGAATACTGAAAGGCTCAAAACTTAGTTTGATGTGACTGAATAACAAATGGAATATCCATATAACAAGTTTTGCTGATATATGGACACAAAAGAAAGAAATTTTACCTCTTTTCCGACCCTATCATGTGATCCATCCGAAATCCTGCAATGCAGTCTGGGATTGTGGATACTGAATGTAAAGGGTCATCTTCATGTACATCGGTCATCATTTGTACAGAGGAAATATCCATTGTCTCAGAAAAGGATCCCACGGAAGGAATGACAGAGTCAGAAGCCTCGGAAGAAATGAAAGAAACAGACTTAGCTGTTCCCTTGTTTGGTTGTGAGATGTTTTCTGGTTGAAACTTGCCTGCTCGTCGGACACCTACAAGAAAAGGAAGGTGGGAAATGTACTTTAAAGTTTTCACTAAGTGATGAAAAGAAAAACCAAAAAGAAGTGTTGCCATCAATACCTACAAATGTATGAAAAGCATGAACTTTGTAAGGATCAAAGACCATGAGATTGAACATACATCAGTTGGCCTATATATGATAACCCATGAAGGTTGAATTTCTGAAACTTAAGAATGTGGTATATATGTATATAAATTCACATAGAGATCTGTGGCTTATAAAAGCAGACCCCAAGTTATCAAAAAAGATAAAGCATTTTCTTCTCCATCATAGCATCTATTTAAAGAAAAAATGTCAGCACATAGGACACAACATAACTGATGAGTATTCTAAAATGATTTTGATGTATACAATCCAAAATTGTAAACCAACTCACTCAAAATCCTCTTGCAGTAGAAAAACAATCAGTCGTTAAGATGCCAACAAAACCAAAGTTTGTCATCTATTGTCAATCTTAGGTTGCTGCACCCTAAGTAATTAATCATACTACTTACCAGCGGTTCCACCAGTATACTGAGGAGATTCCATGGTGGAGAACTCTGCTAATGCCTGATACATGGCATTTAAAAGACAATAAGAAGAGATCAAAATTTATACAGAGCAATGAAAGCATTTGATAGACAGGATTAGAAAGGATTTTGCCTGTTTATTTCATTTAGCGAGGATAAGTTGATCTATGTCACAACCTTTGAGAATCCTTCACCTTGAGAGGCCTCAAGACTGATCAACGGTTCTTCATAAGCCGTGTTTATTTCAAAGTGAACAGCCTCTGGTTGAGAGACTAGAGTCGAGAGTTGAGACACCGAGTGACATCGCAATTCCAAGAAAATCATTGGACGATGTCATAAGTTCCTTGTTTTGGCATTGTTGATCAACTTTTGGCTAAAAGATATCAACATTCCCTGCTAACATGTGAATTCAATCATCAAAAAGCAAGAGACTTAAATAAACTATATATTGGAAGAACACACATCCAAGTCATGAAGACCACAAAAATTATCAGTTGTACTTGTGGGGCCATTAGGGGAACACAAGCTGAAGCAAGCATCTGCACCCTGCAAGCAATAACTCACTAACAGCATCTATTAGATATAGAAGTGACAAAACAAAATATTCATATTTACCTGGCCTAAACTTCCTTGACTCTGCCGAGAAGTATCCAAAAATCCATCTGCCACAACAGAGTAATTGGAAAGGCCAGGTTCGTGACCGGTTCTCTCCATCTCCAGATTAAAATCAGAATCTTGAGCTGAAGGCTGCGGAGATGGAGGAACCAGTTGTGCAGCATCAGAGTTTTTGGGGGTTGTAGAGGCAACATTAGCAGTTTTAGCACGAGCTCTAGGTCGAAACTTTCCGGGTCTTCGTTCTGCCCGCGTACGTACATATAGGCATTGATCATGAGAACAATAAAAGAAGAAGGAAAATTAAGGAACCTTAGAAGATAAATGATAAAGTTTTCCTCATAACGATTACCTGTGGTGGTCGTCGTGGGAAGAGGGATATCATCAAAGGAATCCAAATCGTCAAGCATGGCCTCGGTGTCAAGTTGGTCTGTAAACGTACCATAAGAGCAATGATGTATACATTTAAATCTCAAATCTTAAACTACTGCCACCCCTCGTACCTAATCGCACCGATTTCTCTCTTGCTACCATCGGCATCGACCTCTCCTCCCTAGGTTCTCTCACGTTGACTCTGACGATTAACTCGAGAGCTCCTGAGAAATGGGGCAAAAGAGGAACAGAATCTCGAATTCGAACGTGAAAGAAGTTAACTTGGGTTGTGTGACCAGCGATCGATAAGGAGCAAAGGGGAAATCGGTACCCGAAGAGGAGGAGACGGAGACCGAGCGAAAGAGTGAGCGCTAGAGGAGTTAGCGGAAAGACCTTTTTTGAGTTTCTTAGTGGAAGAAAAATCATCATTCTAATGGTGTTTAAAGTTGTGGAATTAATGTCATTGTTTTACCCATAAAGCCTCTTGAAGCGGGCTGTTAGAACCCACTGGTGATCGGTCCGGCCCAGTCTGATCCGACGGTCAGAGCGCCTCGGGGCGGGCAGTTGGTGGAAGGCAAGATAGTGGGAGGGCTGAATGTCGTGGAGGAGGTGACGAGGCTAGCGACAGTGGTACTGAGAGGCGAGAAGGAAGCCGTGGCGAAGGCGGAGGGAGTAGTTAAGGGAGGGTGAGGTGGTGGCGGCGACGCTGGAAGTCGTGGGAAAGGTGGAGGTCGCGGAGAGTGCAACGACAATGCTGACGGCAATGGCGAAGTGGGGCGGGGTGGAGGTCATGGTTGGGTTGCTGGTCGGGGTGCTACTGCAGGGTTCGGACTGGGTGAGGGAGAGCGAGGACACAGCTGTGGTGGCAGTGTGTCGGCGGTTGGGGCAAGGGTGGTGACGAGAATAATAAATGGCGACATGACACGCCACGACGTCAGTCACGCCTGAACGACACTCTGCCCAAAGAGGACAATAATACCGACGCGATGTTCGCTGACGTCCCCCGCTCTCGGACAACGACTTTGTCGTCGTCTGACCCAACATACTTGGCTGAGGCAGAGGAGAACGACGACCGAAGCACGCCCACGCCCTGCGGCAGTTCGGTTTTTCACGCAACGCCAACGGCAATATCAGACGCCATCAGAGGTACGATCCTGCTCCTGCAAGTAGGCACATCAGGTAATAATAAACTTCCCTATAAATACCCCCGTGTCCTAATCGATAGGGGAGGGAAAGAAAAAGACCAGCATAGACAACGAACCCCACTCCACATCGTCTAACTTGATCGTCGGAGGGGTCGGGTTGAGCTCCCGACCCGACCCGTGTGCAGGTAAGGAGACAAGGCGATTTCCCCGGGACGCAAGAGAAGGCGCCTTCCCCTGAGCATCCTGACGATCCCAGGCGTGGTCCGGTCCACGCGGGCGGTCATTCCGGCGACCCCGAGCAAAGATCCCCACCATTCAGCCCCGAACCAAGCCATGACGGCCCCGAGACAGGGCACAAAAGTTGTTTACATCAACAGATTGGCGCTAGGAGGGCCGAATGTCGAGGGATCCCCTGACCGACCCCGACGAAGCCCCTGCCGTGGGACCGTTCGTAGCAGGGGCGCCGGCCGAGCACCCCTCGCGCGGCAAGCCGAGGGCGGATAATCCCGCTACAACCTCGGAACGCTATTGGCGTTTGTTCAACGACCCAGGTCTACTTCCCCCCGAGGGTGCCCCGGGTGTCCCCTCGCCCATGTCATCTGAAGCCTTTCAGGACCTTGCCCTTCAAGTCCGGACCTTGGCAGGAATGGTCCAGACGGTGATCCCGCTCATTTCCCATACGACAAACCCATCGGTGGCCCAGCATGTGCGTCGTTTGGACCCGCCTGCACCCGTTCACGCGACTACCTTGGCGTCCCCCGGTTCACCCCTGGCTCGGGTGTTTCCCCTGGAAAATCAGGCAGGGGGGAACCCTCCCAGCCGACCCGAGCATGAGCCAATGTCCGCTGAATCGACGGGCTCTGTCCGGGCCTATCTGCACTTTCTTAGTCAGCGACTTGAAGACATACAGAGAGAAGTCCGGGCCTCAAAGGGGGAGCCGGGGGACGAGGCGCGCTGGGGGTCACCGTTCACGGTCGAAATACGGGATCACCCGGTGATCGCGAACTTTCGACTCCCCTCCCTGGACGCCTATGACGGCACCACTGACCCCGCTGATCACGTGGCCGCCTTTCGGGCTCAGATGGCGTTGTATGGAACATCTTACGCTCTGATGTGCAGGGCTTTCCCCATGACCCAGAGAGGCTAGGCCCGCACTTCGTACAGCAGTTTAAAGACCGGGGGAATCACCTCCTTCGACCAGCTTGCCGAGGAGTTCGAGCGCAACTTCTTGGCTTTGGCTCGACCCAAGCTATCAATCGCCCTGCTCCTCGGGCTGAACCAAAAAGAGGACGAACCTCTCTCTTGTCTTGTGAACCGATTCGCCACTAAAATCCGAGGCTTATCAGGTGCTCACCCCTCTTTACTGATGCAGGCATTTATGGCAGGTCTCCGTCCCTCTAGGTTTTTTTGGTCCCTCGTGGAGCGACCCCCCTCCACGGTCTCGGAAATGCTCCAGCGAGCCAATCACTATGTTGCGGCAGAAGCCTGGATGTCCGGGAGACGCGAGGAAAATAAAAGGCCCCGAGCGGAACCGCCGGCTGGACAGTTGGCCGGTCCGTTGAAATGCAGACTGGATCGATCCAACCCTACCGGACGGAGGTCTCCCTCCCCCGTTTTGGGAACATCCCGAACTCAGATATTCCTCTAGATACAGAAGAAGGGGCTGCTCAAAAGCCCCCCCCCCCCCGATGAGAAACCCCCGGCAACTCGCGGACAAAACGAGATATTGCCGCTTCCATCGACAGAACGGGCATGATACGGAGGAGTGTCGCGAGCTGAAGCGACAGATCGAGGAGCTAATTCAGAGGGGGCATCTTGGCCACTACGTACGGCAAGATAAAGAGCTTTCGCCATGACCCGAGGGCCCGGTCGAAAGGCAGATTGATGTGATCACGGGCGGCCCTACGTCTTGTCACGGACAAACTTCTAAACAAGATGTTTGATGTAATGCTTATGTATATCCGTGTCTTTTGGTATGTTCATGCCTTGTACAGCATGTAGAGGGGCGGCCGAAGGCTTAATAGTCCAATTTTAGTTGGGTTGGTAGTCTCTTTAGGCTTGTAAATAAAGGTTGTGTCATGTGGACACGTGCGAGAGATTCTCGGTCTGTAATAGACCATTTTACCCTTTGTTGTGCCACTGTTCAGAGCTTGTAAAGTCTGTTTGTAATAGACCTACCACTGGCCAGGGGAAACCCCCGCGAGTCAAGGCGATGCTACTTGACCGCGGTCTCCCTGCACAGGAGGAGGGGTGCCAAGCTCCCGCACGACGACCCTCGGGAAACAAAAAGGTTATCCCCACACCCTGAGCTAACGGGACCTACCGTGGACGTACCCTTGTAGGACGGGCATTCGGATCGAACCGTTAAGGTCGGGTCAGAGCTTCCTGAGCATGAGCATGCCCAACTCATCCACCTCCTCCAAAAGAACGTCAATGTCTTCGCCTGGTCTCCCACCGACATGGCAGGGGTGGACCCTGAAGAATCCCAAAGAATTTGCATGGACGACTGAGTGCGGGGAAGCCTTCGCCCGCATCAAGGAGCACCTGGCCTCCCTCCCTCGCCTCGTTTCAGTGTCTCCTCAAGAAAAGCTTGGTATATACCTAGCAGCCTCCCAAAATGCAATGAGCTCGGTCCTGATCAAGGAGCCATCCGGAGGGTAGCAACCGGTTTACTACACTAGCCATGTCCTTAATGGACCCGAAGAGCGATACCCCCCCATTGAAAAGCTGGCGCTAGCGCTCGTGCTGACCGCCCGGAAGCTGCGCCCCTACTTCCAAGCTCATCCGATCGAGGTAATCACCGATCAGCCGCTCCAACAAGTGTTGTCTAAATTTGACCTGGCAGGTCGCCTCCTCAAGTGGTCAGTGGAGCTCAGAGAGTTCGATATTCGTTATGTCCCGAGGACCGCCATCAAAGCGCAGGCGGTAGCCGACTTTATCTCGGAATTGACTCAACCCAAGGGCGAGGAGTAGGAGCGCGTGAGAATGGAGTGGCTCCTCCGTGTGGACGGATCGTCCGGCCGATTGGGCTCGGGGGCCGGGCTAGTATTGGAAGCCCCTGACATGCGCTTGTTCGAGCGCTCCCTACGCTTCGGGTTTAGGGCCACCAACAACGAGGCAGAGTATGAAGCGCTACTGGCAGGGCTCAGGTTAGCCGTCGAAATGCAGGTGGACGACATACACGTCCTCACCGACTCACAGCTGGTTGCCGAGCAAGTCGACGGCGGGTATGAGGCCCGGGATCCGACCATGTCGAAGTACCTAGTGGAGGTAAAAGCTCTCGCCGCCCAATTTTCCCGTTTCGCATTATCCAGGGTACCCAAGCGCCAGAATGAATGGGCGGACGCCCTAGCAAGACTGGCCTCGAGGTCAGATCCTTCGGGCGAGCCGGGTGTGGAGGAGCTCCCCACCCGCGCCGTCACGGTCGCGCCGGTGGCCGCCATTGACCCGCCAACGACATGGGTGCATGAGGTGCTACGATTCAAGGGCCATGGCGTGCTCTCCGAAGACGAAACCGCGGCCCGACGCCTATGCCGAACCTAGGCCCGCTACTGCGAGATCGATGGGCGGCTATATAAGAGGTCATACTCGCTCCCCCTCCTACGTTGCCTCGAGCCTGGAGAGGCTAAGTCGGTTCTCGCCGAGGTCCACAGCGGTATTTGCGGCGAACACATAGGCGGACGCACCTTAGCATTTAAGGTGTTCCGTCAAGGGTACTACTGGCCCACCATGTCCCGAGATGCAAAGTTGTACGCTCAAAGGTGTGACGCATGCCAGAGGCACGCGCCCACGCCGCGGCAACCGACGGTGTCGCTTACGCCCGTGGACTGCGCGTGGCCCTTCGCGCAGTGGGGAATGGATCTGCTCGGCCCCTTTCCACCGGCTTCGAGACAACGAAAATATATTATCGTCGGGATAGATTTACTTCACCAAATGGGTCGAGGCCGAACCATTGGCGGCAATCACGGAGCGTCAAGTAGAGGGATTCGTGTGGAAGAACATTGTCACCCGGTTTGGTCTGCCTAGGGTCATCATCACGGACAACGGGACGCAATTCGCCAGCGCTCAGTTCAAGGAATTCTGCGTAAGCTACGGGATACAGCTGAGGTTTAGCTCGGTTGCACACCCTCAAACGAATGGGTTGGCCGAGGTAACCAACCGAGCTATTCTGAGCGGCCTCCAGAGGAGGACACTCGCGGCCCGTTCAGCCTAGGTTGATGAACTCCCGAGCGTCTTTATGGTCCTTGTGGACCACACCTAAAACCGCAAACGGGGAATCCCCGTACAACTTGGCATTTGGCGCAGAGGCCGTCTTGCCCGCTA